GCATTGTATTTACTGTGACTGATTTTGCATCCATTACTTTCAGATATTATTCAGGTGAGAAGAAGGCCCCTATGTTGACCATATTCATCGGGGGCAACCATGAGGCCTCTAACTACCTTCAGGAATTCCCCTATGGTGGGTGGGTTGCCCCTAACATTTACTACCTGGGATATGCAGGTGTGGTCAGATTCGGAGGGCTGCGAATTGGGGGCCTTTCAGGGATTTATAAGGGCCCAGACTACCTCAAAGGGCACTATGAGAAGCCACCTTATACTGGGGAGTCAGTCCGAAGTGTTTATCATGTGCGAAACCTTGAGGTCTTTCGGCTAAAGCAGGTGAGGCTTTTTAATTGGAGGAGGGTTCACTTGACACATTTGTCACTGTGCTTCTTGTTCTCATTGTTGGTGGCTGTTTTTTTGTTTATCTTTATTTATTTTTTTGTATGTTTACTGGTTCCTTTCTTTGTTTGTGCACTTCTCATATAGACTATATCAGCTGTGCATGCCTAGAGATCTTACAGTTTTCTTTATTACCATGTTACCAACTTCTCAAATGTTAATACAATATTTATATTACTTTTAAATATTCTAATACCTCTTGGTATTTGCAGTTTTTATTGTGACACTGTACCTAAAATTTCCATTGTAGCTTTCAGGTGAGAGCGATATTTTCATGTCCCATGACTGGCCACGTGGTATCTATCATCATGGAGACAAAGAAAAATTACTCAAGTGGAAACAGCATTTCCGTTCTGAAGTAAAGAATAATACACTGGGATCAAGACCTGCAGAAGAACTCTTAAAGAAGATAAGGCCAAAGTACTGGTTTTCTGGTCATCTTCATGTCAAGTTTCCTGCTGTATTGCGACACAAGGTATGATCATTTACACCTATTTTTGTGTGTAGCTTAATTTTAAGAAACTGTATGACTAACCAGATCTATGGTGGTAGTATATAATTAACAAACATTATTGTGAACTTGAAATTTCACTGTTGCAGGTAAGTACAACAATCAACAGTAATGAATAGGGTGATGACATTGTTTGTTTTACACATCTTTAGGTAGATACATGTTGAACTTAGGCTTTTTAGAAAGTGCACTCATTATATCAAGCTTTATTATGTGCAACTAGAATAGTCATAGCTTTAGTGCACTGTGACAGTTGTAATTAGGAAGGATGCAACATGGGTGCCCAGATAACATTAGAATATTTTTAAGGGGCAGGGGAGTTTGAGAAATTAAGAAAAATATTGAAAACTGTCGATATACAGGAGGTAAAGTGTCTCTGTTTAAGAAATGCAATTTATTACCTGTGAAAAATAAGCTAAGAAGATGATTGAAAGGAGTTCTTGTTATGTAATTGATTTTGGTTGTGTGGTGAACTTAAGTAACAGTGTCCCCCCAAAAAAGTGATTTTGAAGGCTTATTTTTGTCTGGTATTTAGAAGATCTTACAGTGGAAATACTGTTGTTTGAAGTTGATAATATTTATTAAATGAGTTTTAATTTTAATGGAGGCTGGTGTCTATGAAAGTATATGAAACCTGTAAATTGCTTTAGTGCATCAAGTGCCGTTGAAAATTTCCTAATTTTGACAACCATTCTTTGTAGTGTACTAGATGCTGAAACTGCCTTGTTCTTATGTAGTAAGTTTGTTCTGTGAACAAGGAGGAGGAAAGGTGTGAGTATCTGCAGAAATATCTACGAAGTTGTTAGCTTATATTGCTGTTTTGGACATTTTTCTGAGTTTTAGGCTTCCAGTGCCATTGCTTTTCTTAATATTAGTTTGATTCTGAGTCTTTTTGTGTTTCTAGATTCTTCAGGTCCCAGTATAATAGAGCTTTACTGTATGTGGTTAAAGATGATGTTTACCATTTTTCTATATATCTGGCAGTTTTTGTTAGTTGCTTTTCCATAGCATTGTTAGATGGGAAATGAAGCTAGTCAGATGTCTAATTTCTCGCCATTTCGAAGCTGCAGCTGGAAAATGGCCTTTTTGTGCAAAATAATGGAAATCCTTTTCTGTGGAGATAATGCACAGAGATAGCAGCATAAAGAAGAGGAATTGTGACAGAGGAACTGGAAATGGATGGATGGAGATGCATTACGGGCCGAAGAGGGTTCTTTGAAACAGTGCGACCTTTTTATTGTAAAATGCAATGGGGCGATTGTAAATTATGTTGTGATGCGTATTATTATTTTTCTTTATGAGTAAGTATAAGTCATCAACAATAGATTTACTTTGTACCTGGAAATAATTATTTATTTTGGGGATTTGTAAGCAACAAAATCATACAGTTAGGTTTGTTTGGGGCATCTTTTTGCCTTTTATTTGTTTCTCTAACTTTGCTCTTTCACCTCTCTGTTCTCTTTCCTGTGCTGTGCCTTAAACCTAGTGGTCATGTTTGCGTGATATATATGCCATGTCCGCTGTAATTTTAGTTTATTAATTGTGATTGTATGTAGATGGTTTACCAAGGACTCAATTATTGGTACTGATTATCTCTTGTTTTATTGTTTATCTCTAGTTTCGATGATAATAGCATTAAAAATAAACAAGAAATATTGAAATCACGTGAGGAATTGATGGCTGAGTACTTGTATAATATAAATTTCACAAAAGCTACAGGGATTGTACATGAAACTGCCACCAGTGGGTTGACTATCAAGTTTCTATTTTATAATGGATAGAAAGATTCTTAACAGTCAAGTATGTTTTGTTTTAGGCTTATTTTGAACAAATTGAATTGTTTAGCTTTATTACAGTTAAACTAGCAAGTTAACTCCAATCTTTTATATATAAAATGGTTTCTATATGTTTTAGACATTTTTATAATAATATAGTAGGTATAGTCTTGTAGGAAAGCATAAAATAATGACAATTTAATACCTTGATGATCAGCATATGTAATGCTATATATATATATATATATATATATATATATATATATATATATATATATATATATATATATATATATATATATATATATATATATATATATATATATATATATATATATATATATATATATATATATATATATATATATATATATATATATATATATATATATATATATATATATATATATATATATATATATATATATATATATATATATATATATATATATATATATATATATATATATATATATATATATATATATATATATATATATATATATATATATATATATATATATATATATATATATATATATATATATATATATATATATATATATATATATATATATATATATATATATATATATATATATATATATATATATATATATATATATATATATATATATATATATATATATATATATATATATATATATATATATATATATATATATATATATATATATATATATATATATATATATATATATATATATATATATATATATATATATATATATATATATATATATATATATATATATATATATACATACATATACATATACATACACATACACATACACATACACATACACATACACACACACACACACACACACACACACACACACACACACACACACACACACACACACACACACACACACACACACACACACACACACACACACACACACACACACACACACACACACACACACACACACACACACACACACACACACACACACTGCATACTGTGCAGGATTCACATAGGTCAAGTCACTCCTCAGGTTTTGAGTGAGCCGGTAATTGATGCTATTCATTCCCATACACTTGTTTTAACTCTCATTTAGACTATCAATGGGGAAGAGCATATCAACATTTAATTCATGCCGGAGAAATATGTTGTATCTGTCTCTTATAAGAGAAAGGCAAGTCATAAGCCTGTGTTTGATCTGTGAGGGCCACAGATAACTTTTAGGTAGAAAAATAACAAATTTTCAATTGATACTCAACATCAGTTGGTGATGAATGTGTTTTAGAGGTTAAATGTAGCAGGAATGTCAGACAGAACTTTTTTCCTTTCTTTAATTTCAAAACATGATGTTATTATTTGTTGTTGTCCTTCTGGTTGTCTTTCTTGTTGACTGATCATTTATATTAAATGTGACAATTATGTATTGTTTTTACTTGCTTGAAAGTTGCTCTCCCATTTACAGCTTGTTAATATAAGTGATGAGAGAGTAGTAGTAGTAGTAAATGCTCAGATTTTTAAACTGAAGGAAAGTAAATGCAGATTGAATTTATATTACCAACATTGAGAAGGTAGCTTATCATTGGTCATTGTATAACTATGTTTTTTTTAATGGAATGATGTCACCATTGCCAGCACATGACAAAGCATTGAATGGCCATTTATCCTTCATGAACGTCTTTGGGACTACGCCAGTATAATTTTTTTTGTGATATAGCAATAGGAATACAATGTTGTTACGCATCAGTGCCAGCATCATGAAGAAAGTTAACTGCGATAATACATGGACAAGGCACTGTGGGAAGTATACATCAACAGAAAAAACATTTCAGTGTCATGGCAGATTAACATTTGCAAGTTCCATTTGTAATGCCTGGCAACATCTTGAACTTCTGTCTTTTCCTCTTCTTGACTCTGTCTCTCCCAGTGATAGAACAGTCATGGTAAGCATTAGTGCAAAACACATATCATTCACTCATAATGTGTAACACCCATTGTATGTCTTGTGTCTGTAATGTGTCTTCCTACACATTCCAGTAGTATAATAATGCATTTCAGAATATTCCCCCCTCCCCCCCGCAAGACTTATCCCCCCCCCCATTTGGAATCCATCTTTAATTAGATACAGTTTTATTTAAATTTTCTTTAGCGTTTTCAAGTCATGTAGGTCCTTTGTGCAGGTACCCATTTAGTGCTCTGGTCCACCCTCTTGGGCCATCAGCAGAAGCCAGAGCCAGAAAGTTTATATACAAATTCATCTTTTGTCCCCAGGATTTTATAAACTTCCCTGTGACTGTTTGGAATATCATAGAGTTCTAAATCCTCACTTTCTGTCCTCATGTTTTCAATAGATGTTCTCAAAGCAGAATGGGTGGATAGGCTACATCTTTCTTGCTGTTTTTTTATTTATTATTATTGTTATTATTATTATTATTATTATTATTATTATTATTATTATTATTATTACTATTATTATTAATATTGTTATTTTGATTATTTGTATTATTATAATGGTTATTCTTATTCTTATTCATTATTGTTATAGTTATTATTTTTATTATGAATATCATCTTTTCATCACCATCATTATCATTATTATTATTATTATTATTATTATTATTATTATTGTTGTTATGGTTTTTATCATAATTTTTTATCATCATTATCATAATTTTCATTATCATCATCATCCTAATTTTCACTATCATCATTATTATTATTTTCATTTTTGTGTGTGATTAAGCTTTCATATGTTTGGTGATCACATTTTAGCAGTATAGATAATACATTTTCATCAGGCTGCTTACTCTATGCCTTTCAGGATACATTCAGTGGGGCTTCTTTCCTGTTGACCTTGAGAACGCATTGTCCGTGTTCATGATTTTTGCAAGTCATATCAGTTTTAATTAACTTTTCCAATACAGGACGAAAATACCCACAAAGCGAAGGTGACAAAATTCTTGGCGTTGGACAAGTGCCTGCCTCGGCGTGACTTCCTACAAGTGATAGAAGTGCAGAATGCGGGACCTCTAGAGTTGAGCTATGATGCAGAATGGCTGACTATTCTACGACTTACCAACCACCTTCTCTCTGTTGGTACACGGACTGTCTACATGCCTGGGCCGGGAGGGTCCGAGAGGTAATTTTATCACGCTGGTGATTGGGGTTCTGTCTGCATCCACACAAGATGATCTGTCGGGTCCTGGTCTGATCCCGGGAACTTGACTGTAAGCTGGTCTTTTTGCGCATTGTTATTGGACGGATACTATTCTTGGGCCTAAGCAGCTCTGGCACCAACTGGAGCCCCAGCAACCAAGCCAGGCCTTGGCCTAAGAGGAGTTGTGAAGCCTGAATGCCACTATGGTCTTGTGAGGGTTCGATGATCCAGTCCATGGCTGTAATGTGGTGCTGGCCACAGCATAATGGCAGCTAAATTAGTTCTTTGTTAATTATATTTTTTTCTTGGAAGTTGTGGTGGGGAGAACATGGAGGAACATGGTGCAAGTACTGGCAGTCACAAGCGGGTGCTGAACTGTTGTGAAATTCACTGTAACTAAAAGTTGTAAAAGTATCTGTTTATGCAGTGTTTTCAGGGGAGGTGTGTTGTGGGTACTAAGTTACGTATAAATGATAAATGCTCAGGAAGGGATTTTTGAGATAAGTGTGTACATTGAAACTTAAATTAGTTCTGAACAAGCTAGATAAGATAGGGTGTTTGCATGATAGGGACCAATAGATAATAAACACAGGATTTTACCACAATTTAAAGTACAGGGCTAACATTTATTGTAAGTACAAATATGAGTATATATATAAATGAATAGTAAGAACATCGTTATGAAAATGCACTTACTAACTTTTTTCTCTCACAGATACCAGTTCACACCTACAAAGGAAGAGATTGATGACACCATCCAGATGATGGGATGCAACCTGAAGGTTCCTCTAGACTTTGTTCCAACAGCACAGTCTTATGAAAGTAGCCAAGGCAAGCCCAAGATGGAGCAGGTGCATATGCCCGATCCGCTACTCAACCCACAGACGATAAC